GCAACCAATCTCCAGCTCCAAAATTTTATAAGTTAGTTCCCCGACTAAGGGCCACTCCAGGACTGAGTTACCAACCCTCACGCATGTCTAGGCCCCGCATGCGAGCGCGTAAAAGTATTGGGGGGAAAATTGATAACTCGGGGACGAAAAAAACTGGAATTTTAAGGGGATGTCCTCTACTCAGTGTGACTAAAAGATTTCAGATTCAACTCTTCTAGTGGGGTCTTTTTCGCGCACCAGCAACGTTCCGTTTTTCGGGTCACTGAAGCCGACATCTACAACTAGCACATCAAATAGCTGCACAATTAGCGTCTCGAACTTCGAGGGTCAGTATTTCACAGATTCTAGCTGCTGTGGTTCCTTGCGATCTTGCTGCAGTACGAAATAGTGCAAAAATGCATGGTCGCAGCGGCTTGCCTGGTGCGTTCCAGCCTGGGTTGAATGTTTTGCTGCTAACGTTGTCGTTTTGACGACGATAGTAAAGTTCCGTTCTAGATAAAGCACACAGCGACTGTCACGAAAGTGGGCAGCACTTTCGTGATCAGTGATGCATGAGCCTTGGTGGATCATGTCGGGCCAGCGCTACCTGCTTGCCCGACCGTGAAAAGTATAAAAGCAATTTGCCCTAATGGGATCGATCGTTATTGTTACGATTTTTTGTATTGTGTGTCGTCCTAACGCCGTTCATCAAAGAAAAACTGCTGTCAAGGCTTGCCGCATCCAATATCGTCACATTCAAGGACCTGAAGCCAATATCGTCACATGAGAGTTTGGAGCCGGTGAAGATGTCAATCAGTTTTATGTTCAGAATCAGCTCAGCGAAGAAAAAGTTGGTTGACTTATTAATACGGCTACCAATCGAGATAAACGTCCCCGAAGATGCGAAACTGGGCGAGAAATCAAGTTCCTAGACAGAAAGCTGTCAGAATTGGAAGATCAGCTTCGCAACGTAACCCGACTGGTAGAAACACTCTCGAACCAAAACGATAAATGGTTTGAATTTTTGCGCAGTCTAAAACCAAACCAGTTACAAGCAGAAAAGACTGTTTTTGAGGAATTTGCATCGGGCGGAGATAATTTTCTGACAGTGCTAGAAAGGGGATACGAACCAATGGACGTTTTGGAGCGCCAGATAAGGGTGAACTTTCTGCTGAAAAGTTTTTGCCCAGAAAGATATTCAAAGAAGCCCAAAGAGAAATCAGGAGAAACTGTGCAGGGGACCCAAACGCAGCTTAACCAGTGCCTCAAATTACCAAAGTTTGAACTGAGGGAGTACAATGGCGACCCACTCAAGTGGCCGCAGCTCTGGGGGAGTTTTTAGGCGAGCATAGACAGCCAACCTCTGCTTGAAATTCAAAAGCTTACCTACTTAATGAATTACTTGAGAGGTATGGCGTATTCTGCAGTAGCTGGGTATTCAATGAAAGCGGAAAATTACAAGGTGGTGGTAGAAGTCCTGCAAAAGCGTTTCGGTAGAGATGTAATCAAACAAGAGTTGCACAAGGAATTGCGAAACCTCCCGCCAAACGTTCCAGCAAGACGGTTGAATCCATTGAAAGAATATTACGTCAACTTGAGAGTATGGGAGAGGACACAAATCATCCCCAAATTCAAATGCTAATAGAAGTTACCAAAATGGGCTCTTTAAGATATATTACAAGCCAAAATAAAGGACCCGCAGTAAAACATTTCCAAACTTCGTGAACGATTAGATGCACTTGTGCAAATAAGGGATGAAATTAACAGAATTCATCCTGAGCGAAAAGCAGTGATAAAGAATCAATAAACCAAATCAAAGGCTGGGTTCGCCAATCCTGGGGACGATGTCAACGCTTGCCGCATGGGGTTCGGCAGCGAAGTTCTCAAAGCAGCATGTTAATAAAGTGTTGCATCCATCAAAGCCTTGTATTTTGTGCGGTCAAAGACGCTGGACGGATAATTGCAATAAATATATCACTCCAGAAGCTAGGAGACAAAAACTTCAAGAATTGAGGTTATGTTTCAATTGTATGCAATCGGGGCATCATTACAATAAATGCTCCAAACAAAAGAACTGCTACCACTGTAAGGGTGCACACAATTCCATCCTTTGTGCGAATCGAAAGAGAGTTTCTGTGATATCAACAGAACAGCGACAAATTGCTGGCAATGATGAACCAAGTGAACAAGTAGTAGCGGATTTTGTCATGAACAATACAAGGGAGGAAGAAAATCAAATAGTTGTCAATTCCGTGCAACGAGAAAGGGATCGATATCACTGTGCCGAAAAAAAGGGGCAAAGGTAATACTAGTTACAAACAAAGTGGAGGTTGCCAACTCCAAAGATTCCAAAATTTCGCGAGAAATTGTAGCGATATTTGATGCAGGAAGCCAGCGCTCACTCATAACCGAGGCGGTTTATCGTCAACTGCAATTGCCAAGTCTTCAAAAAGAGCGGCTTTCCATCAATACTTTTGCGTCAAACACTCCTACTAGCATCAAATTGATTTTCACAAAGGTGGGTGTAAGGACGAAGCATGGCGAAATCTTCCGTGTCAATGTCAATACAGTACGAAGCGTAGCTCAATCGGTAACGCAGCTTTCAATGGACCAAAGCGGAAATGTGAACTCTTCACGAGTTGAACCAGATATCCTCATTGGGGATGATTATTTTTCTGAATTTATCAAGCCTACCCAGTTCATGACACTCAATTCTGGATTCAAGGTTATTGAAACCAGCGTAGGGCCAATCATATGCGGAAAAGGACTATTGAAAGAGACAAATCTAATTCAAACAGCATGTTACTCAACACAAGAAGCGAAGAAAAGTGAAATCAATTTCGACGAATTCTGGAAGTTAGAAACCATAAGGATTATAGATCCACCCGAAATCACCGATGATGAACTGGCTATGAAACAATTTGAAAAAATTGTACAATACAGCGATGGGCGCTACTCTGTAAAGTGGCCCTGGAAATCAGAATCGAATGCGTTAACGGATAGCAATGTTCTATGTCTTGGAAGGCTGAAGTCAACCGTTCGGCGGCTGAATTTGGATCCTGAACTCTTCGAAAGATACGATCAAAACGTTCAAAGAGCAACTCGAGAAGGGAGTCACCGAAACCTGCGATGGAAAGACAGATGGGCCAGTTTATTACATGCCACACTATCTCGTATTCACTCCCCAAAAGAAAACAACAAAACTGCGCATCGCGTTCAACGCATCATCAAAAACAAAAGCACAGCAACAAAGTCTCTGTGGAGCATTGTTACGAGGACCTGTATTTCTGCCTCAACTCTGTGGTATTCTCTTGCGTTTTCGGACGCGAACAGTTGTGATGGGCAGTGATATTGGAAAGGCATCCCATCAAATAGAACTTAAATGATCGCGATTTCACACGATTTCTGTGGATTCAAGACAAAAAGCAACAAGTAACTCAGGAGAACATTATCATTTACAGATTTAAACGTGTGCCGTTCGGGTTTATAAGTAGCCCATTTCTCCTAGCCGTAGTAATACGACATCATTTGAATAAAAGCAAAACACCCCTTGCCAGGGCATTAATGGATGATTTGTATGTTGATAATGCAATGCTTGATGCTGAGACCACTGATGAGGCAACTGAAAAATACCATCAAGCTAAGAAATTGTTCGGAGACGCAAAAATGAATTTGAGGGAGTTTCTGTCGAATAACTCAAAGGTCAGTCAAGCAATAAAAGAAGATCGCCAATCTGGAAGGATCATAAAGGTACTCGGTATCAGATGGGATACAGAAACTGATGTGCTACATATTAAACTACTAAATGAGGATAGAGGAACTGAGTCGTTAATCAAAAGAAAGATATATGCCTTAGTTGCTGGGATTTATGACCCAATGGGTCTAGTGTCACCGATGATTTTATCAATGAAAGTGTTTCTTCAACAACTATGGCAAGAAAAACTTAGTTGGGATGAAGAGTTGCCGTCAACAAATAAGATCGAATCCGAAAGACATTTAGCAGGAGCGGAGGGACCAGACTTTCTAATACCACGGCGATATTTCAGAGAGTACGGTCGTCTCCAAATACAGACGCTTCAAAGGACGCTTCCGCGGCTGTGGTTTATATACGAAGTAACTATGGGAAAAAGGTGCTGTTGACTATAATAATGTCAAACAAAGGCTGGAACGCACCAGGCGAGCCGGTGCGATCATGCGTTTTTGCATCAAAACTAA